TGTTTTTTTTTTTGGTGGGGGGGGGGGGGGTCAGGTCCCTTTTAGCATCGGAACTGAGAGTGTTTGTGGAGACAAGAGATGGGTTCAGTCGGCTGCAGCAGCCAAGAAGGGTTCTCAGCAAGCCACGGTGGCCAGCAGCAGCCTTGTGAAAGAGGAGACAGAAAGACAAGCTTGGGGGGACAAGATGGTGATGTCTGGGACAGACTTGGGGCGCGTGGCGGGGTGCAGAGCTGTAGGGAGGAGAGGGCAGGTTCCAGGTTGGAAGAGCCGGCGCTGGGTCCGGGCAGGGAGCTGTGCAGGGCTGGGGCCAGGCTGCAGGCGTGGGAAGGGGTGGAAGCTGCAGGGGTCAGAGGGTTTGAAAAGGGGTCGTGTGGGGTGAAAAACTGGACTCTGGCACGTGAGTGCCTTTGGGTGAGGATTCTTTTCCTCCTCTCCTGTCTGGCTGCACATTTAATGGGTTTAAGGGTGGGGAGATTGCAGGAGTATTGCTTTTGTAGTATGACTTCGTTTCTTGCCCCCATCCTGGCAGTCTCTGCAGATAAAAGACTATTGCACGTAGGTAAATCTATGACAGATGTGTTTCAGCCAGCTCATTTATTTCTTCTGGGTCATGTTATGCACTGATGTGTTTAAAATATTAGCACATCTACTGGAGATCTGCAACATCGGTGGGGTGGCCAGGGTGGGGTGATGGAAAGCTTCATAAGCTTCTTTCCTCCACACTGAGTGCCAGCTGAACCAGCATATGAAAAGTAGAATGAAAAAAGTAGAATGAAAAGTAGAATGGATCTGAGTTAATCTATTACAGCCCTGAAAGACCTTCAGATTCTGATATAGATTTCTAAATAGTAAATATTTTCCTAAATTTAATTTGACATTTTGTTAGAAAAGCAACCATATGGGCACCAAGCAGAGCTCTGCACCTAGATTCTTGCATCCGCTTTCATAAAATGAACTGGAGCTGCAAGTGTGTTCCTAGGGGTGTAATTTAAAATTAAATTTTAGGACTAATTAATTTTGTGAATAGCTTTCAGTCAGATTAAAAAAATTAATAAATGTGTTTTTTGTACTCAGTGAGGACTGTGTCCTTTAAATGTCCACGGTACCCAGTATCTCTTAATTCCTTAAATATGTATCTAGACAAAAAAAAATTAAAAAGCATTTATGATCTAAAAACTTCTAATGCAGCCAGGTGAAAGCTATAATGCTTATACAAAGTTAGTAAAATATATGCACTTTCAACTAAGAAAAAATATTTTTCACTACATGGCTGTTCAAAATAAAGACAACAAACAACAACCAAACCTGAAAGAATGTAAAATTGTACTAACAGGGTAGCTCCAACATACCATTTACCTAACACACAGTATGTCAATTTTTTTTGTAAAAAATCTGGAATAAAATTATGGAGCAACCAGTTGACTCTTTTGAAAGGCACTTTATGGAAAAGAACAGGAGGGGAATTTTACGTCAGTATAGGACGTAAGCATTTTACTGACAAAACAAATTGTCAACAACTAGAGTCGGTGAACTCCCTCCTTCCCCTTCAGCTTTGACTGGGTTTTATGCTGCTGGAACAAGTAGGGAGGGCGCTGGTTCTGCTTTGTCGTTCAGTACAGCTCTATTACGTGTAAAGCATGTGTCCATCAATAAAGCTGGAGTCGTGAGTTGGGAACTGGAGAAATAACCATGAGAAGCCGTGTCTTATTTTTCTTCAGTCTCAAATGTGAATGAGATCAGCTAGTTGCATATGTGATTAAAATCTTAGCTTTCTGTGAATATAAGGATGCATCTTGTCTTTGCGCGGAATATAAACAGAGGTACTTGGGTGTGTGGTTGAGAACATGGGAAATGCCTGATGCAGTAAGTTATTCAGGGAGTCATCTTTCCAGAGTTAAAATAAGTAACTTGATGCCATAAAACTGTGGGAGCCTGGTACTTGAGTCTGGTATGTGAGTAACTACATAGAAAGGCAGCCAAAAGTTAATGGATTTAAATATAAAATCATAAGCCCACGGTAATTAAAACATTTCATGTTAGCCTGGCAGCATTACCAAACAATAAAAGAGAATGTCCAATGGCTGTGATGCTTTATCTTCATACTTGGAAGTCAGTAGGAGTTTTATTGTTGACTTTAGTGGAGTAGTGCATTAAATGGAAGGTATGTGCAACTTGGTATGTGGAATATGAGTGTTTTTGTAAGGTACTTCACTACTAGTGAAAAGGGGGCACTTGAAGTGTGCTGAACAAATATTATAAAATTGTTTACAGCAGTTTTCATGGTGTGTAAGGTGAACAGAAGAAAATAGGATGTTGAGCATACTTTTTGTCACATGTTGTGCTAGGTTTTAAATTTGCATGTTAATATCACAAATAATACAATTTGACAGTGCTGAGATATTAACTCTGTATTTTTCTTTACAGTGTAGCTCTTGCAATATATTACCACATCAAAAACAGGTACGTGAATAATGAAATCATGTACTGAAGATATCTTTAATCAAAATAAATGAACTGCCCAAAGTCTAAAAATCTATGCTCTGTTTCTTTCAAAATGTTTTTGGGTAGTAGTTTTCTTATTTCCAATGCTAGAAATAAGAAACATATTCTTTTGTATTTTTATATATATATATATATAATCTTGCTTAGGAAAATAAAAATTAGAGGATTACGTACCATAAAATTCTGGAAGTACAGTTCAGCATTGAAAAACTTTGATGATTCAGTGTTTGGTATTATGTGCACTGGGCATTTCTGCATTGTTCCATATGTTGCAATTACATATAGAGAAATCTGAATAGTGTATTTCAGATTTATTTTTTTAGCTGCACCTTTGTAAAATTAACTGTGTAAATCAGTGGATTTTGAAATAAAAGCCATTAATTGTACAGTAAGAGTGACATTGTGAATAGATGTAATTAAAGATGTTTCAGAAACAGAGCAGATCCTGGCTTATCTCTTCTGGTGTAGTAAGTTTTAGATCTCTGCTCAGTTAAGTTGATTGAAATTGAATAGAAAATAGGTTCTCTAAAAAGTAACTTGGTACTTCATATTGCTTTCATATTAGCTTTCTTCATATTGAATTGTGCTTTTGTATCTTAAATTCCCTGTGCTCATGATATGTCACAGTACCATAAAATAATATTTCCTGACATTTCTAAGGAAAGATTGTATGAATACTTTAAGTGACTTGGTGGCCATGGCTTTTCGATGTGTCTTTTCAGAGAACTTGGCTTAGATCTCGATCTAACAAGCCACTTACACGTTTTTTTTCTTCTGGACTGTAAGAAGTCCAACTAGAACAGAAGGAATTACTCCTAAGTTTAAAGTTAAGCTGGTACATCATTTGGGACCACGTTTCAGGTCACTGGAACCCATCACACTTCTTGAAACAAGGCTGACATCTGAAGAGAAACCTTTCAAAGTGCACAAGGGGCAGAAAGGCTTGATCCCTGCTGAAACCTCTCAGAAGACTTTCCAAGATGTCAGTGGGCCTTGGACTGAAACATGGCAATATGTGAAGCAAAAGTTGGAGTGAAATCTTTTCACAAACTTTTAATCTCATTTCCCAGGAAATGAGATGTTAGTGATCATGCTTGGATTACTTGTTTATCCATCTGTGATTCCCTTTTTCCCCTTTCCTCCATCATCCCAAGTTTAGTTTGGCTAACTAGTCAATTTTTACTACGCTTGACTAAAAAATAGAGATCTCAAAGATAATCAAACTCTAAAGTTTTGTGGAAATAAGTTATTCCTAAGCCCTCTGTTAAGTATCATGCCTGCTGAGTAAAAGGCTGAGTAGAATGGGGACTACAGAGGGTGAGAAACTTCAGTTAAGAGCTCATGGTCAAGCAGGAGGAATCTAGAGCCAAAGTACACCAGACTCGCTTCGTGCCGATTGCCATGGAGCTGATTTCTGTCTGCAGTAAAAAAAGCCCATTTGTGGCCTTACAGAACTTGATGCAAATTTGATCTACAACTGGTAGGCAGAGAGGCTTTATAAAACAGAGTCCCATGTCCCATTCTGACTGTTATCTTCTTGGGAAGCCTGCTGTCTGTCCTTTTGCTTTTGGGATGGAGAAGTGCTTTATTCAGGAAGAACTGGTTGGTGCTTCTCCCTCCTGGAGCTGCCCGGGGTGGGGAGGTGTGTTGTGAACGTGCCCTCTCCTCAGCTCGGGACAGATGGTCTCGGCAGCGATGCCGTAGCAGGCCTGCGCACGTCAGTCAGTGACTCTGAAATGAAGGATGTGAAATGACTGTTCTGTCTTTGGTTGTCTCTGATTTAGGAATGGAGGGACAATGTGATAACAGCATTTAGTTGTACTTGCAGCTGAAACAGCAATAGCAAAACATATGTTCTGTTTCCTGCCATTATAGGTGAAAAGGAAGTTGTTGACGTATGTGGTAGATTTTGGTTTGTTATGGGGAGTAAGAAACCACTGTAACTCTTGTATAGACTCAAGGTTGATTTTGTCAGAAAACGGGTCAAGTACCTGCTGTGGGAGAGAAGAATTATTTTCAGATATTATTTATTTGTCCCTTTTGTCCTGCACAGTAGATTTAAAACTAAATTACTTCCTAATATTCCAAACTCGGGAATCACAGTTTTTTTAGAAGCTATGCATGAAATAGAATATTCCTTCATATGTTTCCTACATTTCATTTGGTTGTAACATTCCAGTTATCATTCCTTTTTTTCCCCAGTGTCTTCTGTCACCGTTATATCGATTGGCTTTCTGCAGCTTTTGTTGGTCTTAGCCATTCAACAAGTGGTAAAAGACTACACCTATCTTGTTTTTGGATGAATGCCTAAGTATTGGTGAATTTGCTAAATCAATAAATAAAATAAACAGCAACAAACTAAACATGAAAAATGCTTAGATCAATTAGTAGATGGTTCATTTTTGAAATATAACAATGTGAATTTATTCTAATAAAGATGAAAACTGAATTTTTTTTATGTAATAGACTTTTTGAGGGCAATCAAATGTGCCTTCGTAGCCTGCAGCAGCTACAGCATGAAGAAGTAAAATAGGAAATTCTTTCTTTCTCTCTCCTCATTGTGAAGGGCCACAGTTTACTGTAGCACATCAATTATTCCAGTGACACTACTTCTGCATTAAGATACCAGCCTTTTTATGTAGGGGTAAAAGAGTCTGGCCTATGTCCTTGCACATTAAGAATTTTCTAGTAATTATCTCAACCTGGGGGGAGGGTAGTTTTTTTTGTTTTAATTTAGGTACTCCTTTAAAAAAAAAAAAAAGTGTTTATTTCCAGTGTTAGGCTTTATAGCAGAAAACATGTCACCTTCAGATGTTGAGGTTTAAATGTTAGCTGCTAATGAGTACATTTTGTAGACATGAATCCACTGTAAAACTCGTGTTTGCATGCTCTGAGAGACACGTGCTGTTGAGTAAAGATAGAAAACATATTCAGTGGTTTCTGTCTTAAGAACTCTGTGACCAGAGTACCAGGGATGCTATAAATAAAGATGGGATTGTAATAAATAGGTCACATGGATGCATCTGTCCAGAAAGTGTCCCGTTCTAACTGGTGCTGTTATACCACTCACTTTTGTGATTTTTAATGTTCCTGCCAAGGTTACACACAGCAAAAATGTTACATTGCATACTGGATGTTAGGCTTGTGAAGTTGCATCGACTTGCGTGCTGATCTTGAGCAACAGGGATCTGAGAAAAATAGCAGATAAAACCAATGAATAGGATTATTATTGTGTCTGAAATTTTTTTGTACGTACTCCTTTTTGCTTTCATAAATCATAAGTAGGACAGGGTTTTCCAAATACATAAAAACTGAAATATGTGTGTATTAAGTAAAGAATAACTAAAAATAGTGTTGCATATTTGTAAATGTCCACGATGTTAACAATAAAGGAGGAGAAGGAATTAAGAGATTGCAAGGATTAATGTGATGAAGATAAGAAAAGGAGAGTAAGCTGGGCTGATTTTATTATAAGTTTATAGTGGTACCTCGTAGGCTGTGAAAAAGCCTCACAGTATAAAGCATAAAAGCTGTGTGTCTTGGGCATTGAAAGCTGAAAATGTTAGCATACTTTGTAATTTGGATTTCATATTACACATGAATCTTATGGCAGAATAGGTCCAACTTCTATTTGAAAATCACAATTCTGCAATGTTTCTAAGTTCCCCGCAGCATGAGGAGTATTGGAGTTTTGATGATACAGTTGTGTCTATGAGAGCTGCGTGCTGTCGTGTTCAGATAATGACGCTACTTTGGTTTTAATGCTTTTTAGGGACACAGATGGAAGAATGCTCTTAGATATTTTTGATGAAAACCTTCATCCCCTTTCGGTAAGTTCATCTGCCTCTTTTTCCCTTTCACGTGAACTGTCTTTCTGTCTGCTTCGTTTTGTTTCAGTCACCTATTTGGAAGTATTTCTTCCTTAGAAATCCGAAGTGCCACCAGATTATGACAAACATGACCCGGAGCAGAAACAGATTTACCGCTTTGTTCGGACGCTGTTCAGTGCTGCTCAACTGACTGCTGAATGTGCCATTGTCACCCTGGTGAGTGTCCGAGAGATGACATCAACAATTTGACAGACCCAGTTTTGTTCCCAGCGCTTGGGTTTGTATGATTTAATAGATCTAGGTGCTGCCAGGGATTTTTTTTTTTCCTCACCATGGAGACCAAGGGAATTTCTCGATGGGAAGAGATACTACAGTTTGTTTTCTTGGGGAGAGTACGTGACGGAAGAAGAGATTGGGTAACATGTGACACAAAAGCCGGGGTTACGTCTTGCCCTCACAGAGTGATAATGTTACAGGCCGCCAAGGTGACTAATAGAAAACGCAGGTGGCATAAGCGATCTGAACAAGAGGGACTGCTAAAAGCAGAGAGGCTTCCACTTTTGGGGGGTTTGCTGCGTATCATCGTAGCTCCCAGCAGAGACTCAGGAACAGCTGTAGGTAATTCAATAGCACTGGTAAGAATTGACGGGCGCACAAAGGATTTGGTGAGTGACTGGGACGTGTTGGTGATGGCTCTTTTTCACTTGCACTGTACTTGCCTTTCAGGACCACATCATAGGATTGAACAATTATACTCAAGGCTGAAGTTTAGCTACTTAAAAATAGCACGACACAAAAGAAGGTTCAGATTTTCAGCTGGTGTGGATCAGCATAGCAATGTGGATTAAAGGAGCTAAAGTGATCTCCACCAGCTGAGAATTTCTTAATTTTCCTGAAATTTTTATCCTGCCAACTCTGATAGGCCTCTTCAGTTTCCAGTCACAATTTTGGCCATGTTCTTGACTCAGAGATTTTTAAAAGAACAAAATGGTTTTTTACCACTACAACATGTGGTTTCATGACAGCTTTGTTATGCACTTTAGATGGAAGAAAGGGAAATTGGAGAAGGTGGCTTTTGAAGGCCAGACCTACTCATTTCCTCTGTTAATCTCTCTTCCTTGGCTTCTAAGATTAGTTGGCAGGCTTTTCTTCTTCAGACAGTCAGAATGAATTGTACTAGCCAGTACAGAGCAGGAATATGAGAGAAATAGGGCAAGAAATACCCTGCAGTGCTCCACCCTTACAGTTTGAACTAGAACTCTACCTAGTTACTTGACGCAGCCATTGCTTGTTTTCTGAAATGACGTTTTGTCTGTCTCTTCTACATAATCGCACTAAGCACTTGTCCTTCTCCCTTTTCTTCCTAAGTGTTTTCTTCTGGAGGCAAGATATGTTGTGTGACTCGGTATGTTCTTGTGTAATTTAATTAATCTGTCAAATACAGTGGAACCTTGTTGTAGTTATCTGTTGTTTGATCTTAGGTTATTTGATCAATGAGGGCACTGTTTAGTAGAAAGGAAGAGGGCTTTTAATAACAACATCTTCCTGTTATTGCAATGCATGGAAAGTTCTTCCCCACAAATCTTGTTAACCCAGGCATATATTTCAATATCTTTCCTTTGTAACTACTTTCTTGCCTCTTCTGGTTCTCATGTGGTTTCCCTGCAAGTAACTCTTTTGGTGTGATCTGCAATGAAGTATAAATGTTTTTGACTCATTTGTTATCTTGCAGAGGCAGTTTCCATAGTTGTTAGTGCTTGAAAACTTAGATGGCTTTGGTTTTTTCCCAACACAATGATTACAGAGAAAACTGTTTTACAGCCTAGTTCTCAAAGCAGGCGTGCAGAAATTTGTGGATAGATTTGGTGCAGGTGATCACCATTACTATTCTGCTCTTCTTACCCGTTTTCAGGATAATAGCACCTGCCTGACCCCTCTTTCCAGAAAGCTGCAGAATTTTTGGATAAACAGTGTTTTACAAGTGTGAAATTCTGCTGCTGCTGTTCTGTTTCCTCTGCACTTCTAGATCCCATTTCTTTATTTGTTAGTGTCATGAGGAGGGGCCCCAGAGACTAATCATGTTGTTTCTGAAATGTTCAAATGTGGAAATTAATCTCTTAGAAAGCAGGCAACCCTTCCCCCCCTCCCCACACTCCTGAAATCTTAATAGTGTTGACGTTGCTATTTATGAACCCTCCAAGTGCTTTTAGTTTTGATGCCCTGTCTGGAGAAGGAGAGAGCAGCATTCCCTGCTGGAGCTTATGTTTTGCCAGAGCCCGGCCATCCGTCGGAGAGCAATCTGATAGTCCTGTCTGCCACTCGTTCCTCCTGGGGGGGATGCCAGAGGGCAGCAAGTAGATCTGTGGAGATCGCAGTACTGTTTTGAACAAGATGCTACAACTATTATCTTTCTTTCACTCACTCTAATTATTTTTAGAGTCCTAACCACCCCCTTTTACTGCCCAAATTATTAACGTGGTCTAAGGTGTGTAGTTGGATGCAGTCGCCGTTTGTCTTTTTACATGCCATTACCCAGGTAGAAGCAGCAGTTACAGCTGGTTATATAGTGGTCTGTATGCTCAGCACAGACCTGAGTAAACGTGAAACTCCAGACTGTTAGATAAGCTAGTCTCCAGCAAAAAGCTGGCATTGTGTTGCTTCTAGCACTTAATTAAAATATTTCAATTAAAGCCTCCACTATTACAGTAAAACCAATTTATAATTAAACAAAAAATTTAATTTTCACACAGCCTCCAGAGCTGCCAAGAGATTTCCCATACTGATAGGTGAAAAATTAAAATCTCAGGTTGAAACAATTAAATACTAATTCACATTATTTATTTATAAAATAATACCATAAGAATAAAATTAGTTTTAAGAATTGTGTTGCTGATTTGAAGTCTTGCAAATAATGGGGTTTTTTGTCCCAGTGAACAGTTGAACTAACTCTGTGACCTGACTTTGTGAGAAAAATAACGCACATGTGCTTCTCCCTCGACCCAGAGTATTCCCACCCTTGCTAAAACTGAGAAATGCCTGTCTCTTCACCGTCTCCTCAAGTGCAGAGGTGACAAGTTGTACTTATGTTAATCTATTAATTGGATAGCAAATAAAAATGTGAGCAGGAGTGTTGTCCATACCAACAGAAAAACAATACAGTGTTTGCGTGTCATGAGAATTAAATATTTACGCTTTGTTCTTTTGTCCTGTAAAAACAAAACAACCCTGTTAAGTAGACCTGAAGAGGAGAATGGTCCAAGTTTTCTGCTTTGCCTTGGCATGACTGAGTTTTGTGCAAATAGGCCAAATCTAAGGCTCCTAATAGACTTCAATGTCCATAGTAGTTTCAGAGAGGATACATTTTGCATTTGCAAATATGCAAATATGCTAGGTCTATATGCTATAGACTGATCAGATACGGTGATATGTAAATACATAGAGTACATGAGCTGAATTGTTTCTGTGAAGTTCAGAAGAGCATGCTTTTGCAATATGTTACAAAGTTCATACAGTGACTGAGAGGATTTGATATTGGGAAATTGGAAATTTGAAGTACCTAAGAATAAATTCTCCTTATGAAAAATAGGGATTTAATTAATCCAGCCGGATGTTCCTGAGTTCCTACTGTGCTCTTTAGTCACATTTTCAGCAACTAGATAGAGAGATAATATTGAACTGTGTTGTGAAAAATTATAGTATTTGAGGAGAATGTTGTTTTCTGTGTGTTTGGAGGAAGGGAGAAAGCTTTGAATTGCTTTCCTTTCACTGGGATAGTTTTACTTTAAAATGCTGATAAAATACCTTTTTTAATATTTAAATTGAAGTATCAAAAATCTGATGTTTGTTTAAAAAAACCCAAAAACACAAAAGAAAGTGATCAGAGTCCACAGAGACAGTTGATCTGCTGCAGAGGTCCTTTTCAGCTGGTCCAGCGTAACTACCGATCCTTACGCACCTCATGGAAGATGCAGGTTCCTCTGAAGACCACAGAGTACAATGCAAAGCATTGTTTATTGCCTGGTTTGAAATCTGTCATTCTCCATCCAGTGACCATAGGAGCTTGTGAGTGCGGTTGGGTGAGCAAGGCAAAGCATTGAAGCTGGGCTCCACCTCCTGTAAGAAATCTATAAGAAGAGTGTATCTAGTATTATTGGCCACTTTTGTCCTGGGCTTCAAGCATTCCCTGGGAGGTGGACGAAACCTACGACTTTGCCACATCTGAAGGAGGTCTCCCAGGCACAGACAGAAGGTCTCTCCACCTGTGCTGTGGATCCCGAGCCGAGGCGTGGGTCGGGCTACACTCTGTGTGGAGAAGGGCAGGAGGAGCAGGGGCTTTGTGCCTGTGCTTCAGGCACTGGTGGGAGCCAAAAACTCAGATTCTGGTCCCTGGCTTTAGGGCTGTTATCTTTTGACTACAGTCCAATATACAACACGTGCATCATTATCGGTTAATACCTATACGTCTCTCAGTCGAGTATTGCTTTAGGCCTACTGGGATATGCACTTTATAAAAAGAGAACATTGAAGCTCTGGGGGGTGGATTTTTAATTTTTCTTTTAAATTCCCAAGAGAAGAGGACATTCATTCAAAGAATGGATGTCTACTGATCCCAGTTTTAGACTGGAAAGACAATGTTGCCTAATAGTTTGAGTGTATTTTATATGTATTATAGGTCTTTGCCTTAAAATGAGTAAATTAGAGGGCAAACCTGGAGATGTGTAACTTCTCTCAGTTCTATTAGTTCTTCCTACAAAAATCTACAATGGTACTTTGCAGTTGTTCACATTTTCAGACTTTTGTGATAATGTTTGTTACTGTTTTTCAACATTTGGTCTCAAAAATAAAAATTGGATGAATTTGCAAGGACCATGATGATGTGATGTCCTTTTCCACCAAATGGATGGCACCAGACCTTTGTGGAACATTTTAAATGCCCAGCTGGGCAATTGCAAAGCACAGTTATTTCTGGAGAGCCGTGGTAGGGAACTGGCGGATTGCTTAGAACAGAACATATGGTAATTTAGCGATTGGATTAGAGCTGTAATTTGACTATGTGGGACCCGCTACCAATTTTTTTCCCATACAAATATCTTTTTAGTTTCAAGGCATTGTGACACACTGAAGTTTTCTCATTAAAGAGAGAAGACTCAGTATTTCTCTGTGGTGTGTTGCTATGAAAACTGTCTTCATTAGTTATTCTGTGCTCCTGCAATGTG